TGTGTGTGTGTGTGTGTGTGTGTGTGTGTGTGTGTGTGTGTGTGTGTGAGTGATGGACCCCTTGGGCAGTGTCTAGGGAAGCCTGTGGACCCCATTATAGGACCACGTTTTTAAATGCCTAAAATACATAGGATTACAAAGGAAACCAATTATATTGAAATGCAGTTATCAAAATATTTTTAAACACAAGTTCAGAGTGCCCAGGTTAACAAGCCCTGATATAGATGGTGGTGCTTGAGCTGAGTTTTGAAGGAAACAGGAGATTCCGAAAGGAGGAAATTAAGAGGAAGTCGATTCTGGGAATCAAGGCAACTTGTGAAAAGGCGTGAGTTGAGAGACGGAAGTTGAACGGTCAAACGTGCAGAATATAAGGCAGGCCGATATGACTGGAATGCCAAGTGTGTGGAATCAGTTGGCCAGGCAAGCACTTCTTAAGGGCTTACTATGTGCTAACCAGTGGGGAAGGGAAAGGTAAGAAGGGCCTACATGGTGAAGAGTTTTCAACAGCAAACTAAGAAGCTTATATTTGATCCTAGAAACAAATAGTCAGCCACTAGAGGTTACTGAGTAAGGGGAAATGACAAGGTCAGACCTGCGTTTTAGGAATTTCATTTGGGCAGCTCTGTGGAGGAAGGCTAAGATAGCAGAGAAGGCTCCTGCAATCGTCCAAGGGAGAGGAGAAGAGTGACTGCACTAAGGCATTGGCTGCACGAGTGGAGATTAGGTAATGTACATGAATGATGTACATGAATGACTCAGTGGAATTCGGGAGTCAGTGTTCATGCTTACCTTTATAGACTCAGGAATGTCCTTCCTCAAGGCTGCCTGCAGGGTCTGCAGCATCTGGGAGCTGCGGAGAAGGAGCATCTTGCACAGATGCTCAGCCTCGCTGTCTGAGGAATATCAGAAAGCCAAGAGGGAGAGAGACAAAGGCAGATAAATGTAAAAAGAGGGCCCCGAGACTGTGTCCTGACTTCCCTTTACCTTACTCAGTGAGACTCCAGCTGGAGCATGCCATGCCAGGAGTGCTGCTCTCCTGCCCACTCTGCTCTGTGCTCACTGGAACCCCTTAGGGCTCTACCCCCACTTCTTTCTGTTTACCAGTTTCCTAACCTCAGGCCCTCATCTGAAAGAACACAATGTCTCCTTTGCTCCCACCCACCTGTTCCTGTTGCTGCTACCCAACCTTAGCATAGGAAACCCCGATGCATTTGAAAAGGACTTTGCCAGGAAACCAGAAAGGGGAACAGGCATTGGGTAACTGGAGGAGGGATTTGGGGAGGAGAGAGTCACACTTTAACAGTTTGAAGATCACTCCAGGCCTTTGGCCAGCTCCAAGACCTTGGCCTTGCCTTAGCTCCGTCTTCCTATTAAATTATGCTTCTCCGTTTACCTTTGGCCCCAGCCCCAAAGGACGTGGAACGGACTGGACCACCTTTCATCATCTTGTGGAATCTGCCTAATAATAATAGTAATAATAATAATGATAATAATACCTGACCTTTCCATAGCACTCTATGACTTACAAAGCACTTGACGTAAATCGTCTCATTTGAGGCTCATCCTTAACCTGGGAGGTGTGAGGTTATCTCCGTTTGATAGACCATCGCTTGTAAACCTGGAGTTGAAAGAAACTGCAGAGGCCATACAGTCCAATACCCTCATTTTCAGAGGAGGAAACTGAGGCCTGGGGAGATTAAATGACTTGTCCAAGGTCATGTAGGGAGTAAACTCTAGAGGTAGAATTTGAACCCAGTCCTCTGATTCTAGAATCAAGGCTCTTCCAATGTATCATATACTCTCCCTTCTTTGATATTTACACTAATGAGGTTAGGGCCACAGCTATCATTATACCCATTGTAGAAATGGGCAAACTGAGGCCGAGAGAAGATAAGTAAAGTCCCAATGCTAGTAACTGGCAGAAATCCAGCTCTTTCTCCTCCTTGTCCCCTGAAAAGAGCTGATAGGACACTTGCCCTAATTAACTCCCTATCTCAAAAGGAAGGGAGTCATTGCTGCTCTTGGATTATTTGGCTAAACAACTCCCTTCACATCACCTCCAGTGAGTCAATAAGATGTCTTAAGTGTGCGCAAGGGACCATGTTAAGTGCTGAGGTTACAAAGAATTGGAAAACCACAAAACCAACCACTGCCCTTTGGGAACTCACCACTAATGGGGAGATGATAGGCGTCATGAAAAGGCATATACAAGATCCATAGTGAGCAGAAGGAAGGGGAAGGCTCAAGGGGCTGAGGGACCAGGAACAGCCTCCTTCTTCCCTGAGGTGTGTCCCTAAAACCTACAAGCGACAGTAACCACAAGGGCACAAACTGCTCAAGCATGTGGTGGAATCGGCACATTCCCCAAGTCTCTTCCCTCGCCAGTGATTGGACAGGACTTCCCCACCCCGCCTGGAGACCACAGAACCACCCATGAGGTCTGCAGGAGGAAAGATTATCCCGGAGAGGGGACATCGTAAGTCCAGAAGTAAACATCTCAGAAGACCAAGGAACACTGAGCACTCGACGTTTCTGTGCTGCATTAGAATTTGCAAAAACTGCTTCTACTGCAGCCCCGAGACATAAAAAAAGAAAACAAAACCGAGACTTAGAGAGAAAATGTTGCCTACTCTCCAGCTCTCATAGCTGGTGAGTAGTGGAACAGGGTCTTCTGACCAATAGCCCTGTAATTTCTATTCCCTAGCCTCGTAAATCAGGGCAGGTAGGTGACATAGTGGGTAGAGTGCCAGGCCTGATGTCAGGAAGACTCATTCATCTTCCCGAGTTCAAATCTGGCCTCAGGCTCTTACTAGCTGTGTGAGTAGCAGGCTAATAGATGGTCCTGGTCTCTCAGGCAGTTGAGTCTTTCTTCAGGAAATGACCTTCCTTCTGCTCTGTCTGGATCCTGTGTAGGCCTTTTTTATTATACCTGTTGGCTCCCCACAAGTGGTGAGCCCCTTACTACCTGGGCAGGTCACTTAATCCTATTCACCTCAGTTTCCTCATCTGTAAAATGAGCTAAGGAAGCAAATGGCAAACCACTCTAGTATGTTTTCCAAGAAAACCTCAAATAATAATCACTAGATTATATACTACCATACTGAAATAATTTGCTGTAAGTAATCTTGAAGGAATTGTAAAGGTGAGACGTGGTGCAAGACTAGAGATGGGGCAAATATCCTCAATTTTCCTAAGGGAGGAGGTGGATGAATTAACCATAATTTACCTGTTTTCCAAGTGTTTTAGCATGTGTTTCTTCTTCTCCCATGATATCCAATAGGTTCTCTAACTTTTAGGGTCTAGCCTAGAAGTATCACCCCTAGGCTGTATATAATAGCTATACTTAGAGGACCTCCTACACCCTCAAGTAGTACTCCTCAGGTGAACCCAGTGGCCCAAGGAGAGGAGCCATGTTTTTAACTCTGTCCCTTGCTTGAATGGATTTCTTGGCTCCAAGTGCATTTTCCTTCCACAGTAGTTCAAGTTCTCAAAGGAGTACCCTAAATGTCTTCCAAGTATTATTATCTCCTTTGATCGTCACAATAATGCTGTAAGGTGGGTATAATTATTACACCCATTTTTCAGATGAGAAAACGGAGGCTCAGAGAGATTAAGTGACTTACCTCCATGGGTTACAATGGGATCCTGGGTTACCCTTTCACCCACATGTGGGAAAACCTGAATGCAAACTATGTTCTGAAACTTTCTAGAATAAAGTCAGAATAGGGGCTTAATGAGCCAAAGACAAATAGGACTTTTTTGGGTAGCTCCCAGGATTGAGCCTGGTCTATGTGATCCCAAAGGCTGCAACACTGGAATAGCAGGTTCTGCCTTTTTCTAGAACCGACTTTGTTTTTTGTGGCCAACACAGATAAGCTTAAAAAAAATCCACTCTGTATCTGATAGAGAGCTGCTAATTATAGGTGTATGTTGTTTTTCTTCCCCACTCAGTGGAAAGATGCAAGAGAAAACAAAACCCTTGCTGGGAGAACAACTAACCTGGAGAACAGTTGACCCTGTATGATTATAGCAATTAGGAAGCAATAGATGAAGGTAGAAGATTTTACAGAAAGCATGGAATGTCTCTCTTTGGAATCGAGTTCTCAGCAGGATCCTACAAGAATACTAGCTGGGTAGTTTTTCTTCCTAGGGATTTAAGTGGATCTAGAAGTTTCTGTACTATTCACCTTTTGCCAAGTGGTCACAGGTCAGTGCTCAGGTTTAATAATCATGAGGGGTGGATCACTTGATTCAGCAATAATCCTGGACTGGGGGCAGAAACAAGTTGGACTCTTGGACCCTTAACCTCTAAGCGGAGGTCATATGACTGCTGGTCTGATTTTTAATTGATTATCCTCGAAAAGAGAGAGCTGGGAGGGACCTTAGGGGCACACTCACAGTCCCTTATTTTAGACAGGTGAACAAACTGAAACCCACAGAGGTTCCATGACTTGCCATGCTCTTACCGCCAAGCTAGGCTGCTAATGATTCTCTGGTTCCATAGAGGCAACTGAGCTACATTTCAAAAGAATACTGAAATCAAGAAACATGGATTTGAAAGCCAGCTCTGCCACTTACGATCTTGATGGCCCGAAACGAGTCAATGAGTCTCAGTTTTTTCATTATCATTTTAAAATTAAGATAATGATGATGATGATTATGCTACCCAATGTGCCTGATTATTTTGAAGATTGATTAGACAATGCAGATAATGAGCTTTATAAATGTCAACTTTTTTTTTTAATTCTATCTTCCCAATAAGACACTGACTGGGCTTTCTTTTCTCCCTATTCTTACTCTTGGCGAAATCCTGCAGGAAAAAAAAAATAGCATCATGCCTTTTATTTTGAAACAGCAGTCTATTTTTGGGATATCTTCTTCCTCTCTGCCTTCCAACAATCTCCCAGATAATGAGTCCTCCCCTCTAACAATGAAAAATTATTCAGCAAAGCCTATTGATGTGATGACTCCATCTGACAGTACACACACTACTCCACTGCTGTCATCCTCCACCTCTCCACTGAGAGAAGAATTGCATTTCTTGATCTCTTTCCTGGGGCCACGACTGGTCATTCAAGTGACTCTATGTTCTGTTTTGCTCTAACTGTTCATTGCATAAATTCTCAGATATGAGGTCAGTACGTATTTTGCAGCACATATATTGCAAGTGCTCATGAAAATTTCTTTTTTTGGTGAGCAATTGGGGTTAAGTTACTTGCCTAGGGTCGCGCAGCTAGTGTCAAATGTCTGAGGCCACATTTGAACTCAGGCCCTCCTGACTCCAGGGCCAGTGCTCTATCCCCTGAACCACCACCTGCCCCCTATGAAAATTTCTTTAGAGAGAAAACGACCACCATAAAAATAATGGTGGCATTTGCATCACCGTATATCACAAAGGATCAAGAAGTAAAAAGATTATCGAAGAATTTGCTAAGATCCTCAAAATTAAATCCACATACATATTCATACGTGATGACTTTAATGTAAAACGGGAAACAAAGAAGGAGAGCAAAAATACACATTTTTCTCAAGGACGATGCTCGTGAGCCAGAAGTCTGGGACTTCTGTGTATTCTATACATCTTTAACTACGTCCTGGGCATTGTCTTTGAGAGAAGAGTTAAGTCAATACTGACATGATGAACATAGAGTAACTTTTGAAAGATGACATTTTAACAAATAAGAAATGACTTGTTACTGATGTGAGAACCATTCCTGCAATGGCTGGCTACGTGCAGTTGGGTTACCAATTTATTAGTGCAAAGATAAAAATTGATATAAAATTAAGTGAAAAGACAAAAGAAAAGATGGCATTCTATTGAAATAAGTTAGTGATGATGAAAAAAATCAGTTACGGATGGAAGACATACCAGAGGCACAGAAGTTTAACTGATGAAAATCAATCAAATCAATTGCTATGACAAAGAGACCAAGAGAACCTAAAAAACATTTCAGATAGCAAACATGATTTACTTGCCAAGAAGAGAGAGATAAATCATCCAAAGCGTATATCATTTTAGAATATAAACTCATTTGAAAAAAATTTTATGGAGGATGGTGGAAGATTATGAATAGCATTCCGTTTTAAAGCACGTGGAAGCAATGAGGGATGAAACCAGTTTTAATAAAAGCTTCTTGAGAAGCCGAACCAAACACAATCATCCCTAGGGCACTTAAAGAGGAAAACGGAAGGAAAACAAACAAAGAAAAGAAATTTGGAAATTAATCTGTAAAAATAGCAAGCCCTTAGCACCAAGAACAAGAAATCACACACACTTGGGCTACATTTCTAGCTGTGGTTATAGATGAAGGAGAAATAACACAAAAGTGAAAGTGGTGCAGTGGATAGTGACCTGGAGTCAGAAAGACTCATATTCCTGAGTTCAAATCTGGCTTCAGACGCTTACTAACTGTGTGAACCTGGGCAAGTCATTTAACCCTGTTTGTCTAAATTTCTTCATCTGTAAAATTTGCTGAAGAAGGAAATGGTAAACAACTCCAGTACCTTGCCAAGAAAACCCCAAATGGGGTCATGAAGAGCTGGACACGACTGAAAAAGGACTGAACAATAACTGAAGAAAGAGGGGGAAAGCAGCCAGATTAGATCAAGTGCAGCTATGACAAATCTGTATTGTAACAAAATTGTGAGGGAATTGTTTAAAGAAACATCTGAAAGAAAGGAAGAGACCAAAGAGGCCGCGGAAAAAAAAAGTCTCCCATCTTGTTAATAGTGAAAAAAAACAAACAAGAAAGCACAACAACTACTGGTCTACATGCCTTCTTTCCCGTCTGTATGTAATTTTAATGAAAATCATCCACATGCTCCTTGGGGGCATTCTCCAGGAGGGAAACAGGCAGGCTTGCACAAATGACATTCCCCAATAGATCATACTTTGATTATCATATAACTGAAAGATACAAAGCTTTCTAGAATCCATTATGCTTATTGCTTACTCCAAATCAAATGGCCCTGTGATTTCCTTGAGTTGGGAGTTTCTTCCAACGATGCCTGTCAAAGCTGTCCTTGCCTGAATGCCCTGCATGACTCCATGTTTCCCCAAAAGTTCACCAAATGGATCCACCTAACATGCTAGTGACCTTTCTCATCTGTTCCCAATGTCAAAAGAATACTGCTAGAGTACTTTGGCTGAACTCCTATTATCCTTGGCTCTTGTCAAGATGCAGCAAGAGCTCTGTCATTCCTTGATGACAACATTACTCCTGTTCTTTGAAGTTTCTTGCTGTTAATATGATGCAGTCTGCTCATACCTACCATATGACTTTCTATTGCTCTCTGCATGA